ATGTTTGTTGTATATATTCATACGTTTCATAATATTAATGTTAATATATTATTAGCACTTTCACACAATGCTAATTTTGATTGAAAATATAAAAGGAACAAAACAAAAGGTGTGAAGCTTCATACATCCATGCCAGAAAGTGTCATTTCAAAAAGCCCAAGACCACTGGGACGAAGAAAAGCCTGCACAACATAAATAAAATGAATTGTTCACAATAATATCAATGACATGCATTTAGAAAAATCTGAAAATGAATATGCATTTCATGCCAACTTTTATGTTTGGCTAAAGTTTATCCATCCCACGTCATTTGCAAGTGTACAGTCATAATGGTACATAGTAGCAGACAGTCAAAACACACAGGGGACTTCTTCTATGCTTGCAATCTTTTAAATATTGCAATTAAGGACCACTGCCTGGAGGAAGAGCGAGAGAAAGAGAGAGAGCATAAGAGAGGGAGAGATAGTCCTGATGAGTGCTCTAGTGAAACTGTGTGCCAGTCATTAGCAAAGCATTCTCCCAGTGGGGTTTTATCGATTTACCATGACTAATGGATGGTGGGGGGGAGAAATCACTTTAAATTAAAATTAGGATTGGTAATACATGCAAATTCAAATAATGCTTTGCACCCAGTGAAGATAAATTGTGTGAAATGTGCATGTTTACCTTGTACTTGTATGACCAATTGTCTCCTGTTTTCCTTATACAGCCTAAAATCAGCTCAGATACATAGCTGAGGGTCGGACAGCCCCTCCAGCTGCGATTTTGCTGGAAATTTCCTTTCTGTTGAAAGTATAAAAAATCGATTTCACTAAATCTTTGCTGAGAAATCTCTTATCAATCCTAAGGACCATGCTATTTGTCTGGTTATTTTCTGAGGCCGGAGCTGGGCGATGCGAGGGGGTTCATTGTGGAGGGTACTACAGTCTGATGTGCTCATGAGATTTCATTTGTCACTTCAGTTAAAGTATGGGTTCTCTGACAAGCATTATTTCTCATGGAGTCATTACAGTCTCAAGGGACATAAATACAGTTTTTGCAGCAATAACATCCAAAGATATAAGCAAATCATCTTTTTTTAAAGTTCAAAATATTTGCTGTAGTGAAGCCTAACCTCTTTGAATTAATCACAAAAGATTGGGTACAGCATGCAAATGAGAAAATTAATTATGCAAAACACATGGTAACCAAGCCTCTCCCTCAACGAAGATGGCAGTGCTAATTTAAATATTTGAAAAATATTTTTGCCCAGAGTCTTTGTGCTATGAGAAAAGCTTCATGTTGTAAAAAAAAACATTTACTTATTTTTACTGAATAAACCCTTTTGGCTATTGAAGCAAAAGCTACAAAATATTTCCATTCTCTTGATACTTTGCACCAGTGGTTCAAAGGACAGCACAGGTCATTACAGTTTCATCCACATCCACTTGTTTCGGTTTATCAAAGTGGTGCTAAATTGCTCTGTATCTGTGTTCTCTACTGAGTAAATAATGTGTTATACAGGCTCATTATAAGCAGATTAGATCTATTAGTTACCGCTGTGCTGCTCTCAAATCAGTTGCCCATAGGAGAGCAGAAAATAATTTTAAACTTCAATAAGTTACAAGCAGTGGCAAGCCTCTCCATAATCCACATTGCCCCAGGCAGCAATAAGACTGGATGCAATTATGCAGACAAAATTCAACACAAACAAAAGAAATGGAAATTAGCCTTAAATAAAACAAAAAGGGGAAAGAGGCGTAGAGAAAACAAATGGGTCTCTTGCTGTCTGCCTCTTGCTTTTTCTTTCATTGTGAAATTTCACATTGTGCGTTTCAAAGCATTGTGTAAAGATCTCACGGCACAAACATGTGGGATTGTTAAAGGGTTACTCCACCCCAAAATGAAAATTTTGTCATTAAACACTTACCTCCATGTCGTTCCAAACCCGTAAAAGCTTTGTTCGTTTTCGGAACACAATTTAAGATATTTTAGATGAAAACCAGGAGGCTTGTGATTGTCCCATTGACTGCCAAGTAAATTAGTAAACACTGTCAAGGTCCAGAAAAGTATGAAAGACATCGTCAAAATAGTCCATTTGCCATCAGTGGTTCAATCTGAATTTTATGAAGCAACGAGAATACTTTTTGTACGCAAAGAAAACAAAAATAACGATTTTATTCAACAATTCGTCTCCTCCGCGTCACCCTAGTACTTAAGTATTTTTTGGGAGTATCTGCACTTGAGTTTTCATTTCAGCCAACTTTTACATTTACTCCACTACATTTCCTAATTAAAATGTATACTTTTACTCCGATACATTTCCCCGAAGTACATTCGTTACTTACTACAAAATAGTCAGAAGTCAGAAGAACATGGACTGCAGGAAAGCAAGTTTGACGAATCAGTAGTCTGGTGTTTGCAAGTTAGACTCCAAAAAACACCTTTGCTCACAAGCGAACAAGTGTGCGCACAACCACGGGTGATTCATTTTTCTCTCAAGCCGAATCTGGGGTCTGCGATATACAGCATCGTCTGTGATAATATGGTAAGTGTTGTTGTAATGATGTGCGATATGACATTATCAAGTAGGCTATATCACCAAATCACACACGTAGTGCACACACGTTGATTTATTAGTCTATTAAAATTCTAAATTCAAGGCATTCTAAATTGTAGACGGCAAAAATGCTTCTGTATGCTTTTTATATTTATATAATTTAATATAGTTAACAATATCACACAAAGAGTACCATTTTCCTGCAGATATCAGCATGAACACATTTAATAATAATTTTATACAAGTTCAGTAAAGTTAGCAATAAGTGACTTACATTTTAGACAAAATATTGCTTGTTTTTGCTCAATTTTGCCAAAGAAAATAGTTCCAAACAAAGATCATAGCACTGCTTTGCGTCTCTGAGCAATGGTGTTTACTTATTGAATGAATCAGCTTTTTGAACAAATCGTTTAAATAAATGATTCAGTGATTCACTCATTAACACAGTCAAATGTTTTGTTCCTGAATGAATCAGCCGTTTGAATGAATAGGTTGAATCTCAATGACTCCACTCATCAACAGTCACTTGCTGTCACCTACTGGCTGTTTTAATTTCACATTTCGACTATTTTTTCATGTTTTAAATCATTTCAAATATAAGTATTCAACGTTTTATGTTACAAACAAAACATTATTTATCCATCTGTAAATGCATCCATGTCCCCACTGAGATACATAAACTGTGTAAATACATCTAAATGCCATTTCAGATGCAGATTCCAAAAATGTTTTCTTATGTTGGAATGAAAGACACTAATGCTGTGTTCAAGTCCTCCTGGGACGTTCGTACTTACGAGTTGACAAGTCGTAATAACGATGTCAGGCGCGTTCAAGTCAGTTTAGTCGGCACAAGATGGCAGTGTACCTTCTTTTAATAAATTACAAGAAAATACAACAGGGTCTGCATTTTTTTACTGGGATTTCAGCTGTGTAACAATAAAATGACCAATTTAAGTTTATAGGACAACTAAACTATAAATTTAAACAAAAATGTACGGTCAACTACAGACGTTGCATCCATCGATTCCGCCATGTTTCTCATTGACACGCCCCCAACTCTGAAACTGGGGGCTTAAAGAAAATTTTACGTTTCCCACTCGTAATAACGACTTTGTGGTGGTGTTCAACTCGTAAATACGATCTATCCGACATGACTTTAACTCACCATAAGTACCAGATTAAGTGCTTCTTATTCTTACCCAAAAATACTAAATGGAAGAAAGAGTTAAAACTGAACAGCTACTCAAGCCGTGTATGAACATTTTTTATATTTATTTGCTTCTTTTCCATTTTGCATTTAATTGTACTTTTACTTTCAATACTTAAGTACGTTTAAGATTTTAAAAATACTTTTTGTACAATAAATATCACATACTTTAAGACTTTTACTCAAGTAATATTCTAAACGGTGACTTCTTTTAGGTACTTTATACACAACTGCACCACACGGATACATAATCCGTAATCTTCATAAAATTTAGATTGAACCACTGATGGCAAATGGACTATTTTGACGATATCTTTCATACTTTTCTGGGCCTTGACAGTGATATTTACTTGGCAGTCAATGGGACAGTCACAAGCCTCCTGGTTTTCATCCAAAATATCTTAAATTGTGTTCCGAAGACGAACAAAGCTTTTTCAATAGAATATTTAATAGAATATTTGTTCTTATAAGTATTCATATTCATCTGAAATATATTATTAAAAATCACAAAGGAGGCCACACAAGCCAAATTTTTATACTCAAATAATATATTAACTGAAATTACCCCTGTTTTGATGATCTTTTATGACTGGAATATAAAAGTCTTATGCTGTCTAATAATTTAAGGTTAAATTAAATTAATATATTCATAATAATTTGTGTGAACCCCATGCAGTTTGATTTTTAATGCATCTCACATAAGCCCATGAAAATGATTAAGCATCTTTGAATAAAACTTATAGCCTACTTAAAAATATATTAGGGTTAGGGTAACCCTAGCACACTTTGCACAGACACTCTACACTTTAACACTTATTCACTTTATCGTTAACTGCACTGCCTCATTATACTGTGTAGACGATAGAATGTCTCTTATTGATAGATATACATATAGGTTTGCCATTGTTTATTTCTGCTATTCTTCCTTGTTTCCTCCCTTATTGCATATTGTTTTTATCGTTTTTATTCTTGTACTTTATTGTATATTCTTTATATTTATTGTCTTTGTAATTTATTGTCTGTTCCCCTATTATTTATTTATTTATTTATTGCCTTCTATCCCGTCTTTATCATGCGGAGATAACAAAATAAGAATTTCATTGTACCTAGTACCTTGAAAAATAGCTTTAAATTTTAAATTGTGTACAGATATATTATATGTACAGACTGTATATGTAAGTGTATTTTTTTTTATGTGTATGAGTTCAGTCTTTTTCTTCAGTGCATTTGAGGTTTGGTTTGTGGGTCCGCCTACCTAATGACGCACCGGAGTGTTTTAGCTGGGAGTAACTCGTGATTGGCTGAATCACGCAGCCATTTGAAATCCACGCAGCTGAACCAGGAACTACGGAGAAGATTCTTCCCCTCTTTTAAGTGGTAAGTCTGTGTCCTCAGACATAACGCTCTCGTTTTACACAGCTATGAATATTGCCTTGCAATTAGATATCTGTTACTGACTGAGGAAACCATTAAGCATGTTTTTTTGCGATCTGTCGCGCTTAACTGTTTCCTAAATCCAAGCGTTCGTGTTTGATTTAGCGCCCGCCCCCCGCACAGTCTGTGATTGGTCGAGCCTTTCGGTTTCCTTATTGTGATTGGATAATTCCTTAGACCGTCTTAGTTTCAGGTTAGACTTCAGGAACGGGATGATATGTTGACATGATGGAAACTGTAAACAGTGCAATGCCATTACGTGGCATTTAGATGAATCGGAAGTCGACTACATATGTTTATCTGTATTATATATGTTTTTTTTTTTATTCTTTTTTTTTTTTAAATAACTGACGTTGTGATTCATTTGATAAGTGAATGTTTTGTGCATATACTGATTTATTTCATTGCATTTGTGCCAAGATGCCTTTTGTATGCCACATATTGAGATTTGCATCAATGAAACTAATGCACATCCCCTATAATCCCAGATTCTGTTATGTATTTTCATTTTATATAAAATAAATCCAGTTCAGGTTATAATTTAGCTCCTAGCTGCACTCATGCTAACCCTTTGTATTGAACACTTGATTACTAAAATGCATCATGCTGTCTTTATTTAATTAAAATTTTTTTAAAGAAATGCCCGAGGTGCTTATTTTAATCTTAATTCTCTTTCAACCCGAAACCTTTGTAGTTTAGCTTCTGAAAAAGGATTCTGGTCTCAATTTGGGTCTTCAAAGCGCTGGTAGCCTACACATAGCCATAGGCAATCTCCCTCTATTTGTGGATCGACCACAGCTCACCAAGCATATATTGTCTGCAATTTGGACACCGTTATCTTTGACGATTTTTATATTAGATTATGCAAGGTATATGTCTTGTAAATTTTTCTAAATATTCTATAAACATATCCTTTATGTCACTATGTCCTATTTAGTGTTTTGTCACCGTTGGCTGGCCTTGGTCAAGCATTTCATGTCTTGTGAGGTGGGGGATTTTGCATCAAATTCAGAGTTGTTCAGATTGGTACCCACTCTGTGACTGTGACCCTACGATTTCCTGACCACTGGTTGAATCATCTCCGTTTACAAAGCCTAAGGGTATGTGGGCAGAAATAAGACACAAGTTTTCTGAATATGGCCATGTTTGCCACTTAACAGCCCTTGTCAACTTGCCTTAGTGGTCACACTCATTTTAAAGGAAGTGTTTGGTCATTGTAGGTCATGCCCCTGGGCTTGACGCAAACCATGTTGTGTAAACACAGTAATGGCCCGCTTCCTCTGGCATCTTTGAAAGAGTAATCCATTCCTCTTTCTCCCACTTTGTTGTTGCATGTGGAGCCCTTGTAATTACATCAACTTAAAGTAAAGATTAAAGACATCAAAAGTAGGATGCTGAGATGACCCTTGAACTCATTTTACATAGGCAGCCAAAGGGGAGGTTTCAGCTCATACAGTCATACCTCAAGAGAGGATGAAAACAGCCTCGTAATTCTCTGTTTTCATGCATCTCTGCACTTCCTCCGGCTCTTCTCTGCTAATCAGTCTAGGCTCTTAGCACAGAGCCTGTACACCTTTCCTCAGGAGATCTCCGACTTATGAGCCAAAGTGGATCAGGTCAAAGGTCTACGGCTCGATTTCTTTGGGAGAGAATAGGTCAGAGAGGTTTAAACATCATCAGAAACATAGACTTGCCCTTTGACTCATGCAGACTTTTTTCCAAGTCTTTAAAAGAAGAAGCAGTATTGATTGCAAATAGTATTGCAAATAGAGCAGAATCTTGATGAAGGGTTCCCTGACCACCTCACAATAAAAACAGTTTATGAGGCTGTAAGTATGGCTAATGCTTTAATGCACTAAACCCATTACCAATTTCAAAATTCCTTGCCTTTCAAACTAACTATTATAACATCCCGAGATGAGACACTTTTTTTTCTCCTCTTGGCTTTTTTTCCAATTCAGTTGCTATGGAAATCAATCTGAGATCTCTATCGGGAAAGTCAGTTTAGTGTAAAATGAGATGGAGTGTATGCTTCTTTAATATAAATGCACAATCTCTGCAGTGTTAAACCCACTTTAAAGGGTTAGTTCACCCAAAAATGAAAATTAGCCCATAAATTACTTACCCTCAAGTCATGCTAGGTGTATATGACTTTCTTCTTTCAGACGAATCCAGTCGGAGTTATATAAAAAATTGTCTTTGATCTTTCAAGCTGTTTCATGGCAATCAGCGGGTTTTGCATGCTTCAGTCCAAAACAAGTTAAATAAAAAGCGCCCATCCATTAAAAAAAAAAAAGTGTCTCACACGGCTCCGGGGGGTGAACAAAGGCCTTCTGTAGCGAATCGATGCGTTTTTATAAGAAAAATATCCATATTCAAAACGTAATAATCACTTTAATGTAGCTTGCACTCACTGTTGTAAAAGGAAGCAGTTCCGGGCGGATGACATATGAGGTCAGTGCTGCGCATGCGCCAGTGAGTCTCGTGAAAACCAACGTTTGTTAACAGGAGCAAGGGAAACAAAGTTTCCTTACTTTAGCAAAGGAAAACCAGTCTCCTCTTGACTTATATCGAAATCCTCCGACATTCTTCTTTACAAATCCTCGTTTTGTACTTCTAATTAGTGACCGTTGTTTTGTTTTGATCTCTCCCCTGCATTTCCGCGTGCATCACTTCTGAGCTGCGCATGCGCAAAGCCGACCTCCATACGTCATGGGCGCTTTTTATTTAACTTGTTTTGGACTGAAGCATGCTTCACCCGCTGAGTGCCATGAAACAGCTTGAAAGATCAAAGACTATTTTTAATATAACTCCGACTGGATACACCTAGGATGACTTGAGGGTGAGTAATTTATGGGCTAATTTTCATTTTCAGGTGAACTAACCCTTTAACACTGCATTGAAAGAACAGATACATTCAAAATACTACATATGGCAATTTGATAATTTTTTTATTTTCCTCTGATGAGCATGTGATGACTTCTGAATGATTAAAAAAATATATATATTAACAAAACTGCTTCAATGTTTATTAACATTTGCAGAAATCAGTCATGTTGTCTGTCCAGAATTCAGAAAACCAAGCATAAAACAGGAAATCCTTGCAGACCCTCATGGCCGTGTTTCTAAGTGAATTAGTATCCTAACAGATCAGTGGTGCAACTCTCTAAAAACTGAATGATATTTATGAATGAATAATTAATGATATTTGTATAAAATTTTTTGAAAATAATTGTTAAGGTGTGTACACTCAAATATATTATTACTTCCTAAGTGATGGTTACACCACATAATATTATTGTGGAATCATTCCGAGTCATTAAATTGAACCTTTTCTTGAATATGGTAGAAAAGTTTATTCAAAACCATGTGAAACCAGCATGAATACAAAGAACCATTTAGAAGCTTTCTTAGACCTTGGCACGTGCTCCAAACTAGATTTTTTAAATATTTTTCCTTATCTTTATCGTGGACAGTCTTCTATGTCATTGATTGACCCAAAGTTTGAATCATTTATATGAATCATGAACTATATGTAACACAATTATGTATTCTGTAAATCATTTTCTACCCACATATGATTAATTCAGAACACATACTCTTGACCAGAGGAATTCAGTGTAGAGCAGTTTAACACAAATTCACTAGTACTTTGCAGGTATGGGAAGATTTTCCAATAGACTAGGCCTCGGATCAACCTTCTTATGATTGAATTCCTTGAAGTCACTTGCCACCTTTGGGGATTTGCCTCACATCAAATTCCTCTTTCTAGCTTTAAGATGCTTTCGGACTTACACAATCACCAATGACTTTTGCAGCAATTTAGGATGTGATGCCCTGAAAGTGTACTGCAAGGCTGTGGTTCACAACTGGTGGGTCACAACTTTAAAAAAAGGGAACTGCAGGGGAAAAAACTGCTAAATGTCAGAGATTTAGAGGCATTTTCTCATCCTCAAATCCGTGAGAAAAAAGTTGCAAAATCATTTACAAATTTGTCAGTAGTTCTCAAAGCCAGCCTGTGTTGTTATAAAATTTGTGAATATTTTTTAAAGTGTTGCATAGAGTCACGTTGCCATTCAATGTAAAATCTTGGCCTTGAAGCAAAAACCATTTGAGAACCACTGTTCTTGGTGATTTGTAGATAAGCAGTGTTTATCCATTGGGTGAACTTTGGTAGTATTCCCATTCATACCCATAGTAAGGCAAAAGTATTTAGTATTTTGAGCCATACCTAGCAAATCTTTACTTGAGGACTGCAGTAGCATTTTCCATTTGATTCCTGTAAGCAAACAGAAACGGAGCTCTCACTGTTCACTGCTTTTGCTTATAGTCTTTCCTCATACTTGGTGTATTTTTCATTCTGTTTCTCTCTCAGGTGAATGAAGGATGGGGAAAAAGGATGCAAGTTCTGTCAAGTTGCCGGTCGATCAGTACCGTAAACAGATCGGTGAGAACCTCTGTGCTTTCCAGTAGGCTTTATTTTTTAATATGGTTGTTAGTAACCTTCATCAAATATTCATCCAGTGTTTTATTAAAGAGAGTCTGAAATGTTGCTTTTTCTTCTTCATTTCAGCCACTGTCATTATATTGCTTATGAATGTTATGCATGAACAGACTTGATGATCAGAATGCTCAGCTGGGAACAGACCAGCGTGTTTAAGAAAAAGCCCAAAATAAATAACCGCATATACTGTCTTCATGTTTAGCTTCTAAAGTCTCTGAACCCCATTTTGCTCAGACTTATGCTTTCTCTTGTATAATTAGCATTACCTTTAGAGGAAACAGTCATTAGTTTTTGCCTCCTATTTTTTAACCCAGGCACTGTATAGCCTATCAATCACAGTAGTACCGGTTAGCATGCCAACTGTGATAGCGGAAGGATCGTGGGGTTTGTTTTATAACTTAGACAATGTCAGTATGGATGCTAAGGGCTGTATGAGGAACAGTGCTGTAAACACCTAGCATAGCTGGGGGGAGGGAATCTTTTCACTGTATATGTAACAATTTCAGGAACTCTCAATAGCTACTGTACATATATCTGCAGCATTTAAAAAAATTATTACATTAGATGAAATTATATATAAAATCGAGCTATAGTCATTGAACACAGTCACCTTACGGATCAGGAAATGTTTTGTGCTTAATGCCAGACACTTTTACTGTGTATACAGACATCACTTTCATCTTTTTGTTGGTTTTGTAGCCAACTTAAACCAGTAGCAAATTCTGTATGGGAAAATCTTTCACAATCACCTTTTTTTCATCCCTTTTAAAAAAAAAATCACCTTTAGGCCTTTTACCTGGAATAGATGTTAGTCTAGTTGTATCCTCCATTGTACATCTGGAAGTTCTTCATTTTCATTTTAGGGATTAGATATTGAGACATAGTTCTATAATGGCACTAAAGCGATGTCTTTTTTCCATTGGCACATCCCTGATGTAATTTGCAACACAGTACACGCTAATATCATTTCCCTACATAAACAACCTGTCTCATACACATGATTTTATGCGAGTTCACATCACACCCTTTAGTAGGACTATTAAGCTTGCGTTGCTCTGCCACCTTGCCTTATTGTGCCTGTGCTGCATGACTGTGCTGGCAACATAACAAGCTGAACTCCTGCTGGAGTCTGCAAATCTCAAGACATATCCCATTTTGTTTTCTTTCTTTTGCGTCTCATCAATTCAAAGTCGTAACAGCAGGTTGTGGACAATTGAGTCCCCCCCCACCGGTCCTCCCTCTCTTTCCCTCAGTTTGATTTGAAAAGAAGTCTATATCAGCCTATTTCGGAGAATGGCTGTTTAACAAAAAAAGCACCCAACATAGAGTAAAGCAACACAAAGGGAGAATACACATCGGAATTTGAGATTGTAATGGGAAGGTAATTTTTATCCTGACAGGTCCTGCTTTCTTCCTTTTTTTTTTCTTTTAAGGAGAGCAAGCTTTTGTGATGCCAAGTACCTTGTAGGGCTGCTGTAGACACATTGACTTTAAATACTGTTATTAAGTTGCATAATGGATTTCGCAGAGCTGTCAACCACCAAAAGGGTTCCTCGGGTCTGTATGGTCATCCCCCTTGAGTCAAGATCATTCACACCATCCTCTCTGCCTTTGTCCAACAATTATTCGCATGACCAAACACTCAGGCACATCCCTGCCTATTAACTCTGTTTGTGATCGTTTTTGTGTGAATGTGCACTTAGCTGATCTGTATATGGTCTTAATAGCTCTGATATGAGGGCTGAATGGATCTTGCATGTTACAGATCTTCTCATTTTTCAAAACTGGTCTAAGCAGGTCGCCCGCTGGCAGAACTCTCACCTGTGCATCACGAACCTGTCTGTTTTTAGCTGTTGTTCAACACTTACCACAGCCTGTGTGCAAAGTTTGCGCTCCCTCCCTCTGTGACAAAAACTGTGGTAAAGTCCCTCTCTGTTTTTTGTGGAATGAGTTGATTTGTTTACAAAGACAAAGTTCTTTATTTTTGACCTCTGTACACTCCCAGTACGTGTGCAATCTGTCAGTGCTGGATTCGAATTGGGCACATATAGGCCTGTTCACACTGTTTGGCCTGAACATATACAGCATTTGTTTTGTTTTTGTAAGTTTTGTTTATTTTTCACATTGATGCACATTGAATTTTGACTTTTATAATGAATTATTTATTTATTTTGTAATAATTATTATTGCTATGTGATTGATTGATTGATTTGTTAGTTATTTTATATTAGTTATTTATTTGAGGTATTTTAATGAATTAATTTTACACTGATGCTTTTTCTTTTTAATTAGACATTGAAGGGGAAATGTCCCCCCAATATTTGTTTTAGTATAGGCCTTCATGAAACACATTTCTGTATAAAATATTCATAATTCCACTCATATTTTGTTCCAGTTAATGAAATGCAGAATTTAAAACTTTACACAGAAATTCGTTCTTCATAAACAAAAAGGCTGTATGTGAGGAATTTCAAGTGCATAGTTTTGATTAAGAAAAAAAAATTATGCCAAATATTCTTATTGGTTTTGAACAGACCCTCATTATTTTTTTCCAAGTTATTTATATGTTTGTTGCCCGAGATGGACAGTGGGTTTATCAGAACTTTATTGCAATCCTATAACAGAAATAATTGCAGAGAGCTTTTCTCCACTCTCCAAAGAGCTTGTTGTCTCCTGTAATGAAATGCAATTTGTGAATTAGCTAGATCACGTTAGAAAAGCGCCAGGCTGATGGAAAGGGAATCTGTTTGTGGATGAGGAGTCATGGCTTTTGAAATGAAATCAACTGCAGCAGTTTTGAAAGGCACCCTTGGCCCTGTGGGTTGATTCTTGTCACTTCCCTGTCAACATCTGACAGCCCAGTGTGTACAGAGGGGTCATACCGCTCCAGCGCACAGGAAACAATGCCATACTATATTAGAGAGGCTCCTCTCCGCTTTTGGTAAATAAGTAGGGGGAGATTTCGCTCTGCGGTGATGCAGTTGAATGGTGATTAATGAGCGAAGGTGCGTTCAGAGCCCGCCTTTGTATTGCTGGCCAATTTGAGCACAACTGTGGTGAGACGGCAAAGCCAAGAAGGCCATTTTGAGTTGTCATCATCAGCGAGTGCTCACACCGAGAGAAACGTCTCATTAAACTCTATGGCGTGTGATTCAGTGTACTGGCAGGGCCACAAAGTCTCGCTGTATAAACAATTTATTTCAATCTCTGATATGATTACAATGAACTATTTATTTGGAACAGATGGCTGAGGCTGTTTGTTGTGGGTATTTACACCACAACAGGAAGTTTCAAGAAAAATAAGACACACACCTAATCTGTCCCAGTTGGCTTGGAACAAAACGAGTTTTGCTTTCCACATCATGTAAAATCTCCGCAGGTGCGAGCGTAAACTCCTGTAGAAGCTGAGATAGGAAGAGAGACAGAAAGACAGTCATAGAGTGTTTAGAAGCTGACATAATTCATTTTTGATGTACAGGCTGAAACAGGTTGCGATGGAAAATACTTTTTCTGTTTTGTTTTGGAAAACAGCTAGGATTGACACTTATCTAAGCCCTGCCCTCTGGTTACTATGGCTACAGAACGAATAAATAGGAGATTTATATAAACAATGTTTTAAAATTTTTTTATTATCAGTTCTGTTGATACTGCATAGGGCCATGTTTGATCGATCTCTAAAGTAAATATACCCAACAACCGTATTCACATGCAAAGTAACTGTTGGGACATTTAACTTACTATAGATATACTGTACTGCTAGGATAATTTATTTACAAGTGAATTAATAAAGTGAGAAATGTTAACAATTAAAAAAATTTTTAAATGAAGATGAAATACATTTTTGACCATTTAGATTACAAAACACCTTTGCATAGACAGCAAAAATAGTCAGTAATAATAATTATTATTATTATTAAGAATTATCATTGTAGTCTAATGAAGATTTATTTATATCAAAAAACTAAAATAATTTAAAATAAATAAAACGTAAATTATTTTGGTTATCAGACACTTAAACATAAAATCATTCATCATTCATTCAAGTATTCATCATTAAAAGCCATTATCAGTCAATAATAAAAACATATAACAATATAGCAAGCAATAAAGTAAGTGCAAGAATTGCAAGAATAATAACATCATCTTTAAATTGCAATAATAAAACATATAATATGCATTATTAATTTAGTTTTTTTGAAGATGAAGGGTGACACATATTTCAAATAATTTAAAGGTAGGAAAAGGAAACATACGGTGTGTACCATTGTGGGTAGATTCTCTGTTGTAAATGTCCCTGCAACATTTTACTATATTTTTTGATAATTCATTTTAAATTCTATTTAAAATAAACAACTTGTTAAATTCTATAAAATTAAAGATCTTTCATAAACACATACATATATATATATATATATATATATATATAAGTTCTCTTGGTTGGTTGTGCATCTTTTTCTTCCACACTTTTTCCTTCCACTCAACTTTCTGTTACAGTTGCTAAGATAGGATTGGTCCGTAATGTTTTTAAGGTGTGAATGATCAGTTCAGTTTTGTATTTTGCACAGATGATTCACATTAATGCCCTGCAGTCCCTTCCCACAGAGACCGAACTGAGAACTATTCCAAGTCTCTGCAAACAAACAGAATGTTCATTATTTAACAGCCCAGTCTGTACTGAACCAAGCCATCATTCAGCATTGGAACAAAATAGCAGGATGTTTACCTCTGATAATGGCCTCTTGCAGGCCTGTGTCAGACACAAAAGGTACATTATAAGGCAGGAGAGACCTGCGAATGTCCCTGGAGAGAGGTCAGTGTCTAGCTTAGGCATCTGAGAGTATCCAGCCCGGCAGTCTGCTGCTAAAGATAGATAAGGACACTCTCTCTTTCCCCGACTCCATGTAAATAAGTCTTAATGAGGCAGGAGTTGCACTTGAAACTAGCTGTCTTTCTTCCTCGCCATCTCCTTTGCTTTCTCTCGATTTTTCTTTTTCTCCCAGCTGTCACACCAGAATAATAATCGAGAGTTTGAGGGAAAAGCCTTTTTATTCACCATCTTTGTGTGATTTCCATGTATTAATGGCACTGGCTTGGTCAAGTGTAACTATCAGTATTTCTCATACTGTATTAAACTTGCATAATTTGCTTGGACTTTTGGGTTGTGGACATCTCAAAT